GAAACAGGTCAATTAGTAAGTTTTATAGTATAAGACGAATTCAGCGATATAAGGTTATTCTTTTGTCATAGTTGTCAAAAAAATGTAAAAAATTGGCTTTATGACTATTTTAAACAACAGTTTCTTCTGCTCTTTAAAAAACGTACCTACTCTTTATTAATCTTGTTCTACTTATTTTAAAGCTTTCTTTTCTCAAAAAAAAAACATCGATAAAAATAAATTTCATCAGGATACCTCAGGTATAACGTGAATATTTTGAAAAATGGTTGCCTGTTTAAGCGAAAAACAGAGAATTGTGTTAATTATGATTTGATGCGGAGATAAAATCGTAGTCAATAGGAGGTATGTGACTTATTTCACTATAAGTATCCAGACCAGAGAATTAGTCGAGCTGCAATAAGTAAAGTATCCAGAAAGTTTGAAGAAACCACTATAGTATAAAAGATTTATTTTGATCAGGAAGGCAAAGAACGGTAAGCAAAAATGACCGTCAAAATATGATGCTCGCCGTTACTGAAAATCCTCACTTTTCCATTAGATCTATCTTAGCCAACTTCAACTTGCAGAAGTCCTCAGTTCACAGAACTCTGATGTCTCAAAAGTGGCATCCTTACAAAGTTCTTACAAGTACAATTATGGGCAGATGACACAGACAGAAGATTACAGGAAGAAATTAGAAATTTATTTGAAAGGCAACCTAACTTAAAAATCACATAATTTTCACTGACGAAGAAACTTTTTGCTTAAATGAAACCGTGAACAGGCAAAATACTAGGTTTTGGAGCCCAGAAAATCTGCATTGGAAGCAAGAAAAACATACACAACGACCGAAAAAGTGATTGTCTGGGATGGAATTGTAGGAAATCGCATACTGGGACCTTATTTCTTTGAGGGATTTTTTTGCGTTTTTAGCTGATACCAGTCCTGGAATTAATTTTTCTTAACCCTAATGAGCACGATATGCATGCTGGTGATGTCTGGTTCCAACAAAATGGTGCCCCTCCACATTTTCGCCTCGATGTAAGAAATTACCTTAATGAAGTTTTCTCAAATCGATGGATAGACAGAAGAGGTCCGCTTGAATGGCCACCACTCTTCCCTGACTTAACCCCACTAGATTTTTTTGTGGGGTCATCTAAAAAGCAAAGTGTATATGAATAGACCAGACACTATCGAAGGACTGGAAAAGCGTATCAGAGAAAAAGTTCGAAAGATAACGCCAAATATTATTCAAAACGTAATTGATAACTTTGATCACCGAATTGTGCAATGATTAATGGAGGCCACTTTGAACATTTGCTTTGTAATAAAATAAACAGTAGTACTGAACTGTTGTTTTCATTTAATTCCTCCATTCTCTGACAACTATGACAAAAAACTAGGTATAACCTTACATCGCTGAATTCGTCTTTATACTATAAAATATAAAGCGTCGCATTAAAAAAAATGTCGTTAATGTTATAGGTCTGTCAAACATGGCTCAAAAAATAGAAAATATTGCAGAAAAGAGACAATTTCTATTTACTAATTGATCTGTTTCAGCGATTTTTTAAAATCCGAACTGGAAAAAAATATGAATTTTGTTCCGTCATTTTGAGACACACTGTATATCTCAAAACGGTGTATAACTATATATATATAGTGTTATGATATCTGGGCCAATAACGATAACCAAGTACTCATATAGTAAAATTCTCAAAATTATAACGTAGAAATATAGAACTCTAACAGGGATGTGTTACACTAAATATTTGTGGAATGAAAAATATAATTTAGCATATAGCATAAGTTTTATACATAAAAATGTAAAATCGCTACAGGATCAAATCCATATGTCAAAATAAAGTTAATAATATAAAATTTTCAGTTAAATAGTTTAATAAATGCAAGGATATATATACTGGAAAATTAAAATGTATCACATAGTACAATTCTGTAAAGATTTTCACCAGATAGAAGCACTTGTCTAGGGAAATTTAAAGAATCATGATTTTGACAGATAGATTTATCGGACAACAATTTATCGTTGCACTTATAAATAAAAACCTTGTATTTAACAAAGACTATAATTAAAATTCAGCATACCTTTAATCTATATTTATGAGTGGAATCAAAATTAAAGTTCTGTATATGACTCTGAGAGCGATTTTCGAAATGTCAAACCCATGACGTGACATTATGTAAAAATTGATTGTGTAAATGATATTCTTCATGTGTAAAATGACTTGTATTGTGTTAAAAACACTCTGTGCATCCAAGACTGTATTTGCATCCTAATGTACATTCCAAATAGTGTAAAAACAGTACTAGATGTCAAGGAACGATGTACCTACTTGAATTAATTTCATTATTAGTCGATTTGTATATCATAAAACTGTGTAAAATAGTGAAATTAACGTAGGATAAGTGTTGAGAAACAAGACTAGTGGCATAGAATTAAGCCTAATAACGGAATTTGCACAAATTTCGATAAAATAGCTAAAATCTATAATAACCTCAAATCTGAACGTAATGAAAAGATGTAGGTATGTAAATTTTCAGAAAAATTTGTAGAAATCAAATATATCAGTGTCGTGTTACATAAGTCATACATAAAGGCACAATTTCAAAGTAAAAATTTCATGAAATTTCAAATTGATGTCTCCATGACAACATACTCTTTTGTTATTCATTTATAAAAACTATTGTAAGGCTTCTAGGTAGCCAGTCTTCCATAATACGTCGAACAGTTAACATCGTTCAGTTTTCCTGAAAAAAAAAAACAAAAGATAATCAAAAGTTTAAATAATTATCTAAGTAATTACCAGATCTCAAGTAAGTCACTGATATTTTGACAACTGTCAAAATTGTAAAAATTTCCATCAGTCATAATTTTCCCAATTGTACAAACGTTCACTGGAGTTTATGTAATGGGAATTAGATAGTGTTTTAATCAAAAGTGTATGGAATAAATTGCCAACGAACAATAGTGAAGTGCTACGAGAAAGTGCACCGACAATCTACCATTGGAAGTATAAGTACGTGGTATAAAATTTGTGTATCCAGATCATCCTTCAACAACAACCCAGAACGAGGTCATCCCAACTAGAAGACGGATATAGGACCAACGTTACATCCATGCGCAAATGTGAGTTACAGCAAAAATAAATTGGCCAATTTAAAATTTTTTAACAAACTCAAATATGAATCGTACGAATTCGTAATTTCCCTTTACCATAACAAAAGTCGACTATAAAATTTTCACCTCTAAATTAAAGTAAATTAAAGTGGATTAAAGTAGACATAAGATCCTAAAATTTTGTAACTGTCATAAAATTTCATATGTAATATATTTGTTAATTTGTGTTAAAAACAAGAATTTTCATTTCCTACAAATATTAAAATAATAACAAAGGGAAGCATACCCTGAGAGAGAGAGAGAGAGAGCGAGCTAGATCTCAACATTATAAGGCCAGATCTTATTGGCGCCTGGACAAAATTTAAAAACATTCAAAATTAAATTAAAATTACATGACATCCTTATATTCAAAAACATAACAGTATATATCTAGATTTAAGAATTATTTGCTGAATTTATTTTGTTACATATTTAATATTTTCCCTAACTACAGAAGTTTTCCAGTTTTCCCTCATCCTTGCACTGAATGGTGGTTAGGATTTACATATAAGTCGTTTGTGGCCGATGAGATTTGAAATTTCAAAAATTAAAAGAAAAGGTAGAAAGTTAACGTTAAAACAGAGTTAATTTTATTCCTAAGTACCTACATAGCGATTTACAGTAACTATAATAATAAATTCCCACAATACAAAATACAGAATTGTACAATCAAATGTATTAATAAAATCACATGGTGATGGAAATAAATGCAGGTAGAAAATCAAAGAAAGATTAAAAATAAATATAATTAGCTTCGTTCCAACAGGCAAGAGAATTGGTTCAGAACCAGATGGAGATTGCGCAGAACGAAATTCGCGTTCCAACAGATATAGAACTGATTCTGGTAGTAGTACTTACAACGTTTCTAGTTCTGAACTGATTCAGAACCGGTGAAATCGGTACCTGGTTCTGAGCAGGAACTGGAAGAACTTTTTTTGGAGCATGAGCATTGAATACACAAATCCATAGAGTTATTATACTTATAACCTCTATATTTTGTGAGTGATCTAGATGAGGATTTTCCGGCTTCCGAGCGGAGCGAAGAAGAGGATTTCTATATTCTTAAGCATTCAATTAACTTGACAGACGACAGATATATGATAATAAACCGTTCCAACACGATTTCCAGGACTGGTTCATAATCAGTACTTATCGAGCGCATGCGTACACAATAATTCATTACTGATTCTGGATCAATTCTGAATTCCTTGTTGGAACGAACCTATTATAATTTTTGAGTAAATATTTAGGTATGAAGGTCTTATGAACACAAAGATGTAAGAAATGAGTTTTATAGTCTAGCTAGCATCACATCTAGGCTACTTCACAGTCATTGTATTTATGGTTTTATTCCTTTCGTAAAACAATTAAACATCGTCTGTAATCTTGCGGGCGGGCAATCAACACATTCTAATATTCGGGTATTCGTGACCCTTGCAAGGCCAGCATGTCGCATGTCGTCGTCGTTTACTAAGAGGCAGTTCTCATACCCACGCGCCCAGAAATATTTTCAATACTAAAATCCTACATAGGAACCAATGAGACTTGTTTTTCAGTTATCCAGGCGTTCTTTAGTACCATTATTCCTTGACTTCATGCAGTCGTTAACTCTTAAATACGAAACAATGAGCCTCCCTCAATTTTTTCCGATTATTCCGCCTTTTTTGTCGGTGCGCGGCGAACTAAGTGGAAATAAATTTCGCCAAAACACATATTAGCGCCTCGTTGCTCCCGGATTAAATGCTCCCCCAGCAAAAACAGCCCCGCCAAACTAGTCCCGCAAGCACTCTATTCCGGGAGTTGCCAGCCGTCCCACCTAACTGACATTGTTTCTTTTTTGCAGGATTTCTTAAAACCGGCACCAAGGGTAGTGCGCAGGGGAATTTCGGGCTAATGGATCTGGTTGCCGGGCTGCACTGGCTCCGGGAGAACCTCCCCGCCTTCGGAGGCGATCCCGAGAGGGTGACATTGATGGGCCACGGAACCGGAGCCGCCCTAGTCAACTTTATCGCCGTCTCACCGGTGGCTAAAGGTGAGTGTCGAATGAACTGTATTAGGAAGGCAGGAAAGTGAAAAAAATACACCGGGGAACTGATACCGTGACTGTATTCTCGTCTAAGGCGGCGTATTGTGTCGTACCCGCTATTGAAATATAACAGTAAAAAATTTTGTGTTAAATTTTACGCCGAAATAACACAAAAATGATTTTGCATGAAAATGGTTGGAAGAGAATCACATTCAACGTTTATTCGAGACATGCGATAGTACGAGGGTCAATAGAAATATACATTTTTGTACAATAAATGAAACAAAATAAATTTTTTAGTAATATTATGTTTTCTTGACTTCAACGCACTTGCATCACCACAACGACTTTAATCCAGCAAAAAATATTCGTTTATCGACTGTGAAATGACGCTCCTGAGATATTTTTTAAATTCAGAATCATAGAGAAAAATTCAGAAACTTCATACCCATACGATTTGTAGGTTTGGAGTTGGTGGGCTTGGGGTTTGTAAGCTTAGAGTTTAAAGGTTCGGCTTTTATGGGTTTAGGGATTGTGGGTTTGGGGTTTGTGGGTTTGTGAATTTGGAGTTTGTGAGTTTGAGTTCGTATGTATTGAACTGAGTATGAAGTTTCTGAACTGCAATCAACTGTTTGACGTCTAAGGGATCCTTAGTAGATTTTTAGTCCATTGAAAAGTTACATTTGGGGTTGCAAAAGTCAGAGCATGCAATTTTATATTTTGGATGTCAAGAAGGGGTTAGTGTAAAGTTAAATCCATGTTTGTGGGGTCGCAACCCTTGTGCATCGGCCGCCATCTTGTAAAAAGGGCTGCGAATGGTTTTTATACTACTATTTACTATATCGGGCAAACTATTCGTCGCACAGAAAATTTGTAAAGACATTTTTTGTTGCAAATTAAATTCTTAATGTGTTCTTCCAACTGCCGTGAGCAAGACAAGAATGTTGATATCTTTGGCGACAATAGTGACTGAGTCGAACGATTGGGATGCAGCAAGAGCGGAGCGAACCTCTCGTCCACAAAATTCAAAATAGTGTCCACAAAACTCAAAATACTTTTCACAATTAAATACGTCACGCACGCACGTGGTAGCGCAACTGGAAGAAAACTTTGAAGGACATCTCCTATGCCTAATCATTCATATTAATGTATACTTACCAGTACTGGAGAATAGTGTAAGTTTCGCATCGCTGTAAAACCCTAATAAATAAATAAAATTTGAAAATAGTTTGTAATGGAAATTATTCCTTGAAAACCCCTTTATCAAAATGCTCTGATGTAATTTTTTTGTAAAATGACCAGAAAAAAGTTATAACGACCAAAAGAAAATTCGTTCCCAAATTTTTATCTATTTTCGTTAATAACTTTGTTATTTTTGATTCTACGACTAAAAGTAATCGAATTGTAGAGAATTTAATTTGCAACAAAAAATGTCTTCACAAATTTTCTGTGTGACGAATAGTTTGCCCGATATAGTAAGTAGTAGTATAAAAACCATTCGCAGCCCTTTTTACAAGATGGCGGCCGATGCACAAGAGTTGCGACCCCACAAACATGGATTTAACTTTATACTAACCCCCTCTTGACATCTAAAAAATAAAATTGGGTGCTCTGACTTTTGCACGCTAAGCTCAAAAAAATGTTAACATTTCAATTGACTATTTCGCATATTAAGAAACTGATAAACTTAGAAATTTCAACATGTGAAATCTCAACGAAAAAAAAAAGATATTTGAGAAAACTCAACGGCATTCGAAAAAGGGAGCCTTATACTTTTAAACTATATGTATTATTTTTTTTGAAAAAAGAATAGATGGCATTACTACATAACCTCAAATATAACGAAAAACAGTGTTTTTGCACTTTTAGGTTAGGATATCTCAAAAACCTGAAGTGATAGAGCAATTCTGCGGCCAGATTCGGATTCAGCGCACCAAAATCCTTCGGGAATGCATATTAGTGTGTCTGTTTCTTGACCCTCGTTGACCTGTGTTATTGGTTCTAGCAGGATGGGTGAACTCTTCGTTGAACTGTTAATATCACATAATTGTGATTTGCCATGGCCAGATTATTTTCTTAAGCTCAGGATGTTTATGAATAAACCACTAATTATTAACAATATTCAAATGTAGATGTATATACAATTGTAAATTTACATTTAAAATATTGTTGGCACTACCAACATAACAGAACTGCCAATGTAAACGATATGAAAGCTTCTAATATGACTATTTCCCGTATTTTTGCGTAATTTGTTATAAAATTTACTTAACATATTTAACCACGTATTTTGTTGTTTTCTGATATTCCATCATTTTGTGAAAAAAAAATAGATATCCACAAAGTACTTCATAATCAAATTGCCGCATCAAATGACTTACTTTGCGGAAGTTTAGGAATTAGAACTACACAAAAAATATAATTATAATCGAAGTAAGTTTATATTAAATTAACCGAAAAAATGCTTTTGTTAAAGCGTTGAAAACTTGTTATTGATGTTTGAAAAAGGAACTGATTTTATTACTAAAAATTCAATAATTCATAAAAAATACATGGGATTAAGGAATAGATTTACCTTGTTTCCGAAAAACTTGTTTTCCGATAAATTAAATAAAAAAATCAAAGAATATGGAAATTTTCATCTTTTACAGCATATTCTTTAGAAACTTTAAAAGCAGATGAACATATTAGACATAAGCAATTATTATTAAACCTTATGATTCGTCAGCGGAATAAAAAATATATATATATGTTTTTTTGTTTGGATTACATCCACTGTATTGTAGGTTTTCACATAAGTGATGGCCGTTTCTATTGGTTATAGTTTACACCATGGAGTAACAAGTAACTTTTTATTCAACGATTGGCACAGACATAACATGATTGAAGTGATTCCTCTATTTTAAATAGATTTGATTAAAAATTTACATAGTTCTGAACACAGTGCACACTGGATTTTAAAAAACTTTGATGAAATAGAATAAGAAAATGTAATTATGCATTGTAAATGTAATTGAATTTTGGTCATCAAAATTATGCTTTTTCAAAACACAACAGCAAATTTTAGAATTCACTCCCTGGTTTTGTATAAAATACTCTCGTAACAAAAGATTCAGTTCTTTCATGTTTGATACGTAGAAACAAAATGTATGAAGCGGAAACATTCCAAAAATATCTACGGTACTATCTCGCTACATATTTGCCTCTATATTGTTGCAATATGTGGCCCAGGAAAAATATTTCATTAGTGTAATACGTTTGCATGGGAATTTGCCGAAAAGCTTTTTCAATCTGCCTTTGGCTGTTTCATATTGTGTAAACAGCCAGCAAATATCACATCACATTTTGCCGGAGCCGGAAAACGCTGTTGTATGCAACCGCCACATAGAGGCAGATATGGAAGATAAATAAAGATTCATTAAATATACCTACTGTTTATAAATTCGTTTTTTGTGGAAACTATTGCTTGTCGTATATCGATTATTACTAAATTTCGTGGTTATAGTAAGCGTGACAAAAACATAACTTTTCTTCTTTTTGCTCATTTCGTCAACTCGTAATTTTTTTACTGCCCTTTAAGAATGCCTCTTTGAACTAAAACGATTTTAATTAGTTTTGTAGCCAAATGAAGCTAATTTTTACAAGATACCTTATCGAAATATAAGTAACCTCCTAAATAACGATTCTTTTCTATATATCCACTAAGTTATTTGCACTTAAAAAATATCCACTATTCTTTTCCAGAGTTTAGAATTATCGATATAAAGGGCGTCCCAGTTTTAACCTTTCAGACTTCAGAAGCGGCTACAACAACAAAGAAAAGTAAATATAATACCCTCTCAAATAATTGAGGCAGTTTTACTACATTTGGTGTGCTATATTGCATCAAGCTTCTTTAAAACACTGCAATATCAATATTCTTGTGGAACAGCGGCAAAGAAACCGGGAGACAATGTCACTAAGAACGTCAGAACTTAGACGCCACTAAAGAATTTACTATTAGTATTACTATTAATAAAACAACTAAGATTGTCCGTTTCATAAAAACAAAACATTTATCGGAATGTACAATTGTAAATACAATAAAATCCTTAAAAACAAAAAAACATTGGCGTAAAACTTTCTTATTTTCTAAGGAGTAGTAAGGCGCAAATTACCATGCCACTGAATTTTCTAAAGTTAATAATTACCTACATTGTTTTTTAAATTCTATTTGTAATAGAAAGTTCTTAGGTACATTTCTTATTTGTGAAACTAACAGTTTCAAAATCATTTTCGATTTATTCTGTGGTAGATTTTATTTAGACATTTAGATGTGCTTTTCTTTGAAATTAGTTTTTAAATAGATTTTGTACAAACAAATGAATATCGAAGATTTTTCTAGAATGTTATATTGTATGGAAACTTTTTATGGAAAATTCTTCCACTATGCTCAATCTGTCCTTACATCTGTTATTAGTTCTTTTTATGCATTTTCTTTTCAATGTAAATGACTTCATTACATTTTAGTATCGAATTTTCCTGCCTTTTCTTTCACTTCTCAAAAGTAAGTAACTATTTTCTTACATAAATACTATTCTTATGACTTTTGTACAGTTTTTACAACTATTTTTCCAAATTATTCTAAAATTTAGTGTTTTTTGCGTGTACCGTTAGTGAGATTTGTTTCCCACTTATTTTTTAGATTAACTTCAAAATGCTAATGAAATATTTACTGATACACTAACTTAATCTCTTTGATAGGGAATTTATTGTTGATATTTGCTATATTTGAAATTTTTGGGGAATATTGAGGTAATTCAGTGACATGAGTGTGCAAAAGACTTTTTTAACATCATACAGGTACTGTATTGACATTCCAACTCAACTTAAAATTTGTGTGTAAACTTTAAAAGTTTTCTATGGCTCGACAGACCTAAACAATTCCAATAGTTATGTGTCATAAACAGGGAAAAGACTATTAGAAATGTGAAACGGGTAAATGTTAAAGACAGTGGTGAATAGAC